GAACAACACTATGCCAGATACCAGTGAACTACAGCGCAGACCAAGGTTTGCCCATTTTGTTGTGCTGACGCCCTCTCTGCTTCGTGACATTATCAGTTCTTTGAAAACTGATCTCAGTAATAATTCGTTTGTTTGTCTCTAACATTTGGGGACTGGTAAATATGTCGCCACGTTCTTAAGTGCGAATATCGCTCAGACACTCCTAGGACACGGCTATTTTCTTAATCAGAATGAAGCGATTTCTGTATCCCCAGCAGGATCCAACATGAAATGGCTTACCATTCGTTTTGCACACTGTGAACTCTGCAATGCTAACGTCTTACGGCTAAGTCCTTCATATCGAAGACGAACAGGTCATCCTGATTTCCTAACTGGCTCTCGACTTGTGTGCATGGATATATCTTCCCCCATCCCCAAATTTCTTCGTGTTAAGTGATGTACTCTCATGGTTAATTATGCTGGTATGGTGCATCTGTGTAGACGTTGTGGTCAGGAGGGGCATCTCTCAGCCATCTGTGTTATGCCAAGATGTGTGAGATGTTATTCATTTGGACATGATGCAGTTAACTGTTTTGTTTTGTGCACTATCTGCAACGGTACCAACGGGGTCAAACTTTGTCCTCAGCGTGTGTCACCTTATGCTAGCCAAACCAGTATTAACCCTTCAGCATCTCTCACTGAGAAGCAGCCATCTCCCCTAGTACCTGCTTCACCAGAGAAAGCACATCAACTTGACCATGGCATTCCCCCTCAGGTAGAGGCTCTTCAGATGGGTTGGGGTTACAGAAGACACAGTAGTAGGCTCCAGAGAAGGGATGTGGGCTACAGAAGGCACGGTAGTAGAGTAGTAGGCTCCTTACTACCTGTTGGTACTTCAATCAACCTGGGGACATGATCAACTGCCATTGGCAGTTGTGGAGTCACCTCTTCATTAGTCTTCTGTGGGGAGTCTCCCCTTCTGACATTACAAACTCAGTAGTGCCAGTGTTGCCCAGTTGTCCAATGTCCTCTACTTCTTCCATGACAAATTTGGAAGATGATGGTTCTGTGTTCTCTTTACAGTCTGGTGAAGTGGTTTTCCCTTCTTCTTCAGTCCCATTTTCAGTTTTGCATCCAGCAACACTAAGGATTCCTCAGAAATCTTACCTACCAGTAGCCGTACCTCCTCTTCGTTCTGAAGGACCAACTAGTCTCCATGGTAGTGTGGCTTCCCGAACACATTCAGCTATGGATGTCGACAAGGCCAACTCATCCTTGATGCAGAAGAGGGCATTGTCTACGTCTTCACCTTAAGTTTACATATTGCCTAAGAGTAAAAAACTGTAATGTTTGTTCATGCTCAATTTTTCTTAATTATTATAGTGGGTTTTAAATGTGTTACATTTAATGTACATGGTCTCCATACCATAGTCAAACAATGATATGGGGTTTTCTATTTTTCTCGATTTCAAGCTGATGTTCTTTTTCTCCAAGAAACCCATTTTTATTGTACACATGATCATTTTCGTTTTGTTGCACGTTTTAATGTAAATGCTTTTTAGTCTTTTCGTGGGTTTCACAGTAGGGGGGGTGGCATTATTTTTCGCCCACATTTCCTAGGGACTATTGTTCAATCTCATAGTGATGCAAAGGGCCAAGTGGTGGTTGTAGACCTGCTTTTATGTGACTGCCCTATACATTTGATAAATATTTATTCTCCTGATAGATAGTCAGAACAGAGTGTCTTATCGACTGTTATCTTTTAACCATGAATGATGTTATTTTGGGGAAGATTTTAATTGTGTCTTAGAAGCTGCACTGGACAAGACTGGGGGTAACCCACAAGTGGAGGTCGAGGGTTCCCGGCCCTTTTCAGATTTCTTGAACTCTTATGACTTGCACGATGCTTGGCAGACTTTATATGAATCAGCCTTTTGGTCACTTGGACAGGATATGGTGTTTCCTGTCGTTTAGACAGTCTTATATCTCTGCAGGGTTGCTTTCTGGTCTGCTGAGGGCTAGGGCTTTCCCGGTTGGTTCCCTCTTCCAATATGTCTCTTTTCATAGGGCATTTCTCTTGTTCTTTTGAGATTTTACTGCTAAGTATAGAGGTCAGTAGGTTTGGAGAGTGAATAATTTTTTGCTGGATGATCCAGATTTCATGACTGAAGCCATGATGGGCAGTGGTAGGCTGACCTTAAAAATGTGTGCAAGGTCCATCTATGCACAGTGCGTTTACAGAGGGCTCGTCATTCCTGTAGCAGTTGCAAGATAAACAAGACTAACTGACTGTTCTCCTGTGCAGTGAAAGTGTTGATGACAGCTTGCAATTGGATATAGAGCACTTTAAACTGTATATTGATTGGGCCTATGCAGCATTGTTCAGGTCAGCTGTTGTTCTATCCCAGATTGAGTCACTTGAGTCCGAAGCCCTGAGTCGGGTGCAATGGAGTAGTGTTCGACAATCCGCATGGTCCCGTCACATCAATCGTGTGCAGAGGACTGACAGTACAGTTACAGATGATATCTCTGAAATTTTGAGCACTTTTTGTTCTCATTTTCAGTCTCTTTTAACTCCTACTACAGTAAATTCTTCCCAATGGGAGGTAGTTACTCGGTTCCTGCCTTCTTTGGATTTGTTGTCCTCCTCCTCTTGACCTCTTCACTGATGGTCAGTGAATGTGAACAAGCTCTTTGTCTGCTCCCCAAATCCAAGTGTCCTGATCCAAATGGTCTCTCTGCCGAATTTTATCAATCAGTGTGGACCCATATTGGACCATCTTTTGTTGAGTGTTTAACACTTGTCTGCTTCGAAGACAGCTTCCCCTAGGTACTTCAGATGGTTACATAATACTAGTCTGTAAGGACGAGAGCCATTCAGAGGCTTTGCATCCTTTATCGTTGCTTAATTTTGACTACAAGATTCTTGCGATGGTTTTCAGTCTCCGATTGAGCAAGATGTTGGAATTCCTTGTCCAACCAGCTCAAACACGTGATGTACCCGGCTAAAGCATCCAGTTTCATCTTCTGTTTATGAGATATATATATTAATGAGAAAAATCTCCCTCCTATCTTCTTGGCCCATTTTGGTTATTAATTAAAGTGTGATAATAAATTACGTTTTGTTAATCAAGACACATGGTAGTGTGTCTTGCGGCCTAAGAAATAACCTGCAGGACACACAATGTGTTATTAACAGGTGTGTAGTTTAGGAGTAGACTGTGGTAATCCAAACTATCACATGCTTTCAGTGGACGGGCTCTACTGTACTCTTTCTTCACATACCAAATTTCAAGGCAATTCATTAAGACATACCTAGGATATAACTTCTCCAATTTTGATTCAGTTTCTTCCTATTTTTTCCTTCACACCAAAACTATGTTAACTTTATTTGATAGAAAAATATACTTAACATTATATAGATTTCTTTTTAATTTGTTGCACTGATGGATCTTTACAACCAAAAACTAGGAGTCTCATTTGGTATAAATATAAGTCACATGTGTAAAGTTATTTACAAAAAGTGAGCTATCTGTCTAACATTTCTACAACAGTTTCACCTAAGTGTAAAAAGTGGACCAGTTTTCGTTTTTTGTCATTCGGCTGATTTAAAACAGCAAAACTATAAGGTGAAAGGACGTGCAGATACATAAGTATTGGTTAGGCTAAGCAAACAAGATTAGTAGTTTCTAGCTCAAGTTTTCAAAAGAATCAAATTTACTAAATTTTATGAAATTGTCCTAATTGAAGAGCATTAAGTGATGTTAGCTTAAACAATTAGCATAAATAATTATGCTTGACACAGCTGTACCGATTGCATGGGGGTGATGACAAGAAACTGTTAATCTAAATTCCATGGCGTTAGTATAAAGGAAGCTTTTAACACTGTTTTAGAAAGGAAAACTACCACCATATATATATATATGTTAAAGAATCTGATTGATTCTGTAAAGTAACGGTCTGTGTCTTTTTCTTATTTGGTGTGGTTTGTTGGTATGTATTGACAAACTGTCATTATACCTAATCAAAAACACCTTAGGTGTGAAAAAAAGTGTGGCCAAAAAAAAAAAAGGATTTAGTATGCGACTTCAAGGAATGAAATATTACAGTGATATTATTTTTATTACAGTACTTCTAAAATGGTAATATAAATAAGAAACGTTATGAAGTGACGACATATAGCAATATAGAATGTGTTTGTATTACCTAAATTAAGATTAAATAAGACATATAAGAGTGTCGATAGTCTATATGTTAACACGGCATATATATATTTGTTTTCTGTACTCTATTATCATTACTTTTCTGATCTTAGAATTGTTTCTTGCCTATTAAAGGATGTATGATTTATAGAGTGATGTGAATAAGGTCTCTTGCACTATTGGGTGTAAAAGAATACGATAGGCTAAAAAAAGTTTGATTTTAGCAATAACACATCAAGATGTAATATGTGAACATGCTCTACAACAGTTTGAATATTTACTTACTTCTTATTTGTAAAAATATTTCTCAGCTAAAAGAAAACGATTGACATTAAGATCTTCAAGTTAAGTCATCCTCGAAATTTTATTTGTTTGAAAATTACCTTAATCGCTCGTTTTAGTAGTTAATAAATAGATAAAACGTGAGAATATCAACTTTATTAGGTACATAATCATCATATTATAAGTTATTCAAACTTCAGATGAGATATTGCCTTGTTTTCAACCGTTTCAAGGAAGTCCACATTCAATTATTACTGTGTCACTGTGTAAATGGCCTATAAAAATTTCTAAAGACTAATCTATGAATTGACACACATAACATCTTCACCATTTACATTGGCTTTTAGTCTTCAATCTGTGTTAAAAAGTTCGTCAAGCTGTGTATGAATTTTTTTACCTGGAGAAAAGTATTGTATTTATTTTCCGAGCATGTAAATATTTAAAATTTTTAGAGACTGATAGTATACTTCGTAAGTCTTCTCAGTATAACTATATATATATAAAAAACCCAAAAAAGTTTGACTTGCATAAGAAAAATTCATAAAAAAAACAACATTTTATTACAATCACTAAATACACACGTACTTGCTTAGTCCTAGTAACCATTGGGACAAAGAATCATGCTAGTCTCATCAATAAATACAGAATTACCTAAATTTATCACAGTGTCTGGGGAAAAAAATTAATTATAATAAAATACCTGCTATTAGAATACCTCAGTAAGACATGTATATTCACAAAGTTTCTGGAATTAAGTATAATCTATAGTTGCAGTTACCATCCTCATTCATAGTCAATCTTGTTTGTAAGATTTATCTCCCAACTGACCACTGAAATCTTAGGGGAGGGAGAGCTACTTGAGTCATGCATATAGGCCTTTAATAACTATAAGAAAAATGTATAGAACACACCTATTAATCTTGAAATGTTTTTTGAAGAGACTTTTAAATTTAAGATGACCAAGTACTAATGAAATCTTCTGTTTATTGCACACCAGTGAAATAAATAAGTTAACGAGTCAGTTTTTTTTTTTTACACGATACACGTCTGGTTCTAGCCAAAAGTGTATACGGAAAACATACCCTTATTTCCTATACACTACTCGGTTTACAAAAGAATGACATTGATCACCATCATATAAAATCTACATACTTTAACATTTAGTAAATCCTGAAAATCACAACAGGTTATCGTCTACTCTAATTACTTAACTTAAAGTGATTCAGTTCACTTCTGATAGTCTGGTCCTGTTTAAAAATATTTATTTCAAATCACAAAACTACCTTTATCACATAATAAACACTACAAATAACCACTTCTGCTTAGAACAGATAATCTCCAAGATTCTCTTTATTATTATAATCCTATGATTCCGGGCTTTACTGGTAATCCCTAGAACTTTTGTTAATCTAGTAAAGCTTCCTTAAATTAGGCCTAGCTCTAGAGATCGATTAACCTGTCTGAGAAAATTTTTAACTGATCTAAACTACAATACAATGTAGCTAATTGCTTAATAATCAAATGTTTTCAAATAATTGAAAAAAAATATTCTAGATAGTAGTCAGAGGTTATTTTTAGAAGATAAAATTTTATTGCATTTAAACTTATATTCTAGCAAACATCTAGCAAGCTAAAAATATATATATAACACACAAAAAAGATTGTTCAACGTATTTAAATTATGTCATTTATAACCAATTTTCTTAGTATAAAACATAGTCTAAGACTGTCGTGGATTTCTTTTTGTATCTGTAAATTACAAATATGCTAATGAATTGCACTTTGTGAAAATGAAGTTAAAATAAACATAGAAACAGTTCAACTTATGGTATTCTGGATTAGGTTCAATAATGTTCGTTCTTAGTAGCAAATGCACTGGAGGAAGACGTTTAATTAAATGCTGATTATTTTATGTGACAGAAACATCATGTTATATACAATTTAACGTTTCTTGATAAAAATAACTCGTTTTATGGTGGGAAAAGTGTTAATTTTTAGTTATTTATGAGTGTTGAACTTAGAAATAATGGTAAACATTAATCCATATTCTTTACACGGTCTATATATCTCTCTCTCTCACTTCTTTTTTTACCTTCATAATTTATAATTTTAATTTCTCAGAATATATTACAGATTTCTTCAGTCATTTACTTATCATTAGGAACTTGTAAAACAAATATTCACAGTAGTCTTAGTGGAAATAAAAATGTATAATATTGAAAATTAACATACACTCATTTACTAACCACACAGGAAATTTCTTAGAAGAGGAAAAAAAAATTGTAGTGTTATTTTGATGTCTCTGAAGTAAACAAATATTATTTATAAGCATAAAAAAAATCACATACAAGCCAGCACGTGGTAGTTAATGTGTTATATTTTTTGTATATTTGTGCAAAGCTAATCAAGGGCTATCTGCACTAGTCATCCCTAATTTTAACTGACAGAGGGAAGGAAATTAGTCAACAGTTGCATCCACTATCAACTCTTGGGCTTCGCTTGACTGACTGAATAGCGGGACTTGACTGTTATTCTTATAAGGCATCCACAGTCAAAAGGTATGGAATGTGGTTCTATTGTCTGTAAAGTGACCATAGTCCAGCATGTTAACAATTACCAGTACACACTCAGCCCTTGGCACGATATTACAACCCAGGACAATTGATAACAATTTTTCATAACATCTTTCTTCACAGGTTTCTAGCAAGAAGAGTATTTAAACTACACCTTGTTCATTGTATGCCACATGAAAATGGCTTTCATTCAACACCAGATTAGCTGAGTTACAATACACAAAACCTCAGACTCGATTAGTTCTAGCATCAATTTAAAGAAAGAAAAAGTATACCAACAACTGTCAATGAACATGCCACGTTTTTCCAGCTTCTCAGCTGATGACATAATTTATATGATTTCAAATATCACCCATCATAAAATATAACAATTAAGTTTATTGAAATAATTGAGAGAGAAACAAAATGGTTGTTACCAAACATAAACATATCAATTAAAGTTTTCTAACAATGCACTTAAAATTAAAAGAACTCAACGAATTGAAAATCTCCTCTTAATATATTAATCTTTAACCCTGAGACCTTACAAACCAAAATGTTTCTTTGTTTGTTTTTTTAACATGTATACAATAGGACAATCATAATACATATATAAAACTCCTACACTACAAAATGATCTTCCTAGGGTCGAGTAATAATACACAGTAAAGTGTATTTAGTAGAGTACTACAGAAATTGTATTTCTCTCTAAATGAGGCCGGCATCCTTCGCCATTGAATAGAAGACACTTTGTTCATCCTCTAACAGATCACTTGGAGAGTCATATTCAATAATCTTTCCTTTATCAAGTACCATTATTCTAAAAACAAAACAATAAATAAATTCCATTTATTTTTATACATTAATGTAAAATACAAAGAACAGAACAAACAGCTATATATAATACAGTTAAAATTTGAATTTTTGTACTTATGGCAAATCTATCGGCAACTGTCCCTAACTTTCAAACTACTGAATGATGAGAAGGCAGGCAGTAGCACCGTATTGCTCATGTTAAAGGATTGACTGTCAATCTTTTAACATAGCCAGTTCTATATAAACAACTTAAAGTGCAAGGAATATTTTGTGGTAACGCACTTATTCGAAAATCTGGCTCTTCAGATCTGAATTCCAGAGCTCTACAACAGGATCAACCCATACACAAAGTTAAAATCCAAATTTACACATACATTTTTATTATATATCTTTAAAATCCAAATTTTATAAATTTACTAATATGAGCTACAAGTAGTAACATTGAGACGTGTAGTTAAATATATATAGGAATATTATTTTTGAAACATGATTACAGAAAACTACAGAATATGGATTTAAATACCTTTTACCAGCAATTAGAAGTTTGAGTAAAATTTAACGTCTAATAAATTACTTGTTTTTATTTTCTTTTGCTGATGGGTAAAAGCAGATTGGAACTCAGGGTTATAAAATTTTGATTTTGCTTGTTTGCAGATGAATACAAAGCTACACAATGGGCTATTTGTGCTGTGCCCCCCAGTATTTAGCGTTACGAGTGTTTCCTGCAGTACCTAAAATCTTTTTCACCATAAAGTTTTTTTTTAGCATAAATACATACAACAGTAACATTACCTGTCATAGTCCAAGACTGTATTCAGTCGATGAGCAATCGTCAGCACTGTACTGTCTCGGAACTCTTTTCTTATAGTAGCCTGGATTAAATCATCGGTTTCAAGATCAATAGCAGCAGTGGCTTCATCTAATACAAGAATCTTTGATTTTCGAAGCAATGCCCTCGCTAAACAAACCAACTGTCTTTGTCCCACACTAAAAAATAAAGTGAAATATTTCAAATGTATAATGAGTCATATACATATATATATAGACTTTAAAACACAAGTGCAATAAGTAATGCTCCAAAATATTGCCTTGCAATTTGATTTGTGATGTACTGTTTCTGGAGAAGGTCACTGGAATATATGATTTTACATCTATATGTTAATCATTATAATATTTCATCTCAAAATGTTATTTGATATACTCATGTAGAATGTAAATCCTTTTTTTTATGTGATTACCTTGCCAATTTTCTCCTTTATGTAGATAAAACCTAATTATTTGATTGATTTTAACCACAAGTTATAAAATTTACCTCAGATTGTCTCCTCCTTCAGACACCTGGTGATCAAGACCAGCATCCAAGCCAGACACAAAGCCTTTCAGGTGAGCAAGTTCCAAAGAGTTCCAAATAGCCTCATCATCATAATGGCCAAAGGGATCCAAGTTCATCCGCAACGTGCCCGTAAACAACACAGGATCCTAAGAAGTGGAGGAGAACACACTGTTAAGAAATTTTATCACGTAAATCTCAGAATGTATGTTTATAACTGATCTCAAGAATTTGTTTCATAACTTAATTACAGTAAACTTTATATGAAAAATTAAGTTGTACGTTCAGAGTGGAATAAAAAGTAAGCTTCTAATGGTGATACTCTAGAAGGCCAGGATGCATCACTCAGGATTGTTGAGGTTCCAATCAAAGCAAGTAACTGGTTCAATACAATCAATACTTCATTGAGAGCTGTACAGGATTGCACAGGTTTCAATATAAAATACTTGACTTACCCACGTCATGGAACTTACAGATGTATAATACTACTGTTATTGTAAAAATATCCAAAATAAGTCCAAAATCTCATTTTATGTGTTTGCTCTTAACAAACATACATTCATGCAGCTTCATAGAAATATTTAGATTTAAATTAAATGAAATAATCCAACAATCTTCCCTTAAACTGATTAATTCTACACTAATAAATTTTAATATCAATGGTACATACATCAAAATGTACCTCGAATGAAAATGCTGTATTGTGTGGGTTCAAGGAAAAGATGCTTATTCAAAAATTTACTTTAAATTTAATTTGTTCCTGTATGTTTTACAACTTTCACAAATCAATAATTTGTTAATTAAATTTTTACTGACTCTTCAAACAGTTCACATGCCATTCAGGGTTCTAGTTAACCCAAACTACTGGGTCATATATGCAAAAGAATTTGTTGGAATGCACAAGATTTGACCCTGCGGGTACCAAATAAGTACTGCAAAACACCCCATACACTACGCAAGCACAAATACTTTGCTTCGGACTTTGTCCCATAATGAACTAAATAGTGTACAGTTTGCACAATCAACTTCTAACAGGTTTTATCAATGACAATAAATTGCACAAAAATAAAGTCACATGAAAGTGCCACATGATTAATGAAAACCCCCTACACAAAAAACTAGAAAACCATGAGTGAACATCAAAACCAATCACAATCGAGTTTCCTCCCCATTTCTTATGTATGAGACTTGTAATTATTACATCTGCTCCATAGCTCCATGATTAGAAGTGCTGCATAGACTAAGGATAAATACATCTACGAGTTATCCTTTTTTAACCCAATCTGATATTTCTGATATAAACGTGTCTCAACGAACATTGGGATAGGTGCTGGAAACGGAAAACTGCACAGCATGAAGACTCTGAAAAAATACTCAGTTAGAAGAGGGTGAAACTTGAAAGCCAATCAAGGGGCTCCCACGGGTCCACGGATGAGTAAAGATGGCAAATTGGAAAGCACAAATGCACAAACTTTGAACCCTAAGCCATCATTGCTCTTGGCAAGAAAGATGGATGAAGGTTTTTCCTTGGTTGTAGCAAGAAATATATGATGGAAAAATAGTAGCTGTGTAGGGATAGAAGCATGAAGAGTGCTTTTGCAAAAGGTTTCACGAATCTTCAGTACTTGGCATTCTCAAGATTATGAATTTGAAAAAAAAACAGAATACTTGCAGATTGTTGAACTACAAACCTGTAAAAAAACGTAGGAAAGTATTGGAAACCATTGGAAAAAAAAGATCAACAGTAGCTGTGGAAGAGAAGCTGAGCTTCCCACCATGATCTTCCATGCCAAACATAATGTTCCCATCCATCTCTTTAACAACTTCATCAAACTACAGGAATGTTTTAATGAGATTTTATGGGTATTACTAATTCTTTAATGATCACACTTCTGGTGACAAAATTGCCTTTATAAGATTTTCTTTCACTTAATTCAAATTACAGCTTTTTTGAATTTTCATCATGTTTACGTTTTTTCCATCGTAGCCTTTAGGTTTACATAAACACCTATGATTCAAGACTATATGAAAATTACTTTTGTGACTGTATTCCTCACATTGCAAGCAGAGTTTTCACACAGTGACACTGCTCTTAAAATAACTTGTTTTTTTAGGTTGGCTTATAATTTTTTTTGTTTGTAAAGGGGGGAGGTTCTTGCACATCTTCAAATTTGCATGGAATATTTCTTGGACTTCACTTTGTCGATCAGACTGAAAATTTACTATAAATAGGTAGGCCTTAAAACAATGAGTTAAAATATTTTTCTTCTCTTGAGTTGTACAGAAGTACAATGGAGCCACACCATTTCAGGGTGAAAGAAGTAGAGATTTTTATATAAGTCCACAGTCACATCATGAAATGGTGGAAGCTGTTACTGAAGTGTTTGAAGAGGAGGTTAATCAACAGCTCCATGATTCACCATTTACTGTTTAAATGGTGGACAAAAGCATGGATGTGAGGGTCCACAAGAAGCTTGTTGTGTATGCCAAACTCAAAATTGACCAAGGTCACTTCTCTTTCCAGTGACGGTGCCAGTGTGTTGCTTGGTTGTCGGAATGGAGTGGGGGGCTATACTCAAGGGTGTATACCAGCCTTTGGTTGGTGGAGATTCACTGTGTTGCTCACAGGATGGCACTTGCAGCTTCAAGTGCATGTGATGCCATCCCAGAGTTCAGTGAGTATTACGTCCAACTTTGACCAATATATATCATTTTTGGCCAACTCTCCTGTCAGGTACAACACCCTAAGGGCTCGCCAAGAAGAGTGGGTTGGGGGAAAGGATGAAGAACTTCTCAAGATCAGCCTACTTTTGCTGGTTGTCTCTCCACAGTGCAGTAAAGGCAGTGCAAGGCTGCTACTCTGTACTTACCTTTTTACCAGCATGTACATTACATGAGAGGCCATATAACACCAGATCCAAACCTTTTCGATAGTGCATAGTGTAGTTGTCAAACACAACATTACCAGATCTTGGCCATGATTTGTCTGGTTTGATGGACTCACAGTATATGAAACCCGATCTATTTCGATTCACCAATTTTCACTGAATTACACTGGTTAGAGGGAATTCCACCCCTCATCAGTAACCCTAGACAAGGGAAAACTGGGGTGAAAAAAGCCCATTGTAATTACCAAAAACTAGCATAATTCAGCGAGAAGTGGTGACTTGAATGATACATTAAGGCTTCATATATATTTTATTATATTAGCTAGCATAGCTGTTAAATAATTCAAAAGAATAAATTAGTAGTATCAATGCTACATATTATCTAAATAATACATAAATACAGATTCACTATGGTGAGTTAAAGATAATTCAAAACACTATATATATAAAACAATAATGTTTGTCACGTTTCTGATCAGACTGTTATTTCCAGGCAGGAAGTTTATTTTACATTCTTTACAAACGTAATAACAAATCAGATAATTTTGTATACAAATTACATATTTATGCAATATATTTTATTCAAAACTGTTATTTGCAACTATCACTCACCTGAGGGATAATGGTTAGTTTTGATCGAAGGTCATGTAGACCAATCTTGGAAATGTCAACACCATCTATGGTGATACTACCCCCTGCAGCCTCGATGATGCGGAAGAGCGACAAGGTGAGCGAGGATTTTCCTGCTCCTGTTCTTCCTACAATTCCCACCTATACCAAAACAGAAATGTGCAGATTGATAATACTAACATAGGAACCTAAGTATGAAATTATAATTTTCTGAATATCAAAGATTTAAAGCTTCTGTTTTATCCCCATGTCTGAGGAAGAGTGGTTAGTTTTAATAGAAGACATACCCCTTCTGGGGCATCTAAATGTACATAATTATAGCTAACTCCTATCTAGAGATGATTTGATTCATTAATTAATCAAACTGGTTGAACAATTGTAAGAATATTTTTTACATTTATTTTTACAAGTTACTTTTTTTAAGAACCTTGTCACCGTATTGAATATAAAAAAGATTTTAATTCATTGTATTTATAATAACCAATTAATTTCTTCATCCAAAACAGACTCTGAATGCTACTTTTTAAGAAAATTAGAAAGACGGCAAGACGAATCACTTGCTACATATCAAAGTTTGAGTTATTACAAACAAAAATACAAGGCTCATGCAGAAAATTCCTGATCAATTTGTGAATGAGTAACTCCATTAATCATACAAAACTAATGGAGTATTCTGAATACACATGGACTACAGCAATACGTTTCTTTCACTGAACAAGTCTCAACATTTCTTTCTAAGCCTAGTAACATGCTTTCAAACTTCAGAAAATACGATAGTCGTGCTATATCTCTATACTTTAACTAACTTTAAAACAACTGTCATGTAACTTTTGATTATTAACAGTTTCTACGTAAGTACTTTAACACCATTAACACTTTTCATGCACTAGCATTTAAGAATCTAATGCTAGTTTTTGCAATATGCAGTAACTGTCTTCCAAAAGTTAAAACTGAAAGATTACTTTAGTAGTGCATTTAACATATGATTTAAAATTAACACCAGTGAAGGATGGTTTTTAAGGCTTAAGGAAGTAAAATATTTATCCATGATTGTAGGTTTTGTTTTTGTCTTTATTTAGTTGGAAATACATGAATACATCACTTGATGATGATGTGGGTTCCTCTCTCTGAGCAATGAAAAAATAAAATTCACAGTTTGTCTTAAAAACAAACAATTTCACAGAATGTAATGTCAATCTCTTTTAAACATACCAAGATCTGACAATCTAAGTACATCAGGTTCAACAATAGCAAATATACATAAATACTAAATTAACTTTCTGGTAATTGGTAAATTATAAAAATGTAGGGAAAAAAAAACAAGAAAGCAATGACTTACCTTTTCACCAGCATGCACATTGCATGATAGGCCATACAACACCAGATCCAAACCTTCACGATAGCGTGTAGTGTAGTTGTCAAACACGACATTACCAGATCTTGGCCATGATTTGTCTGGCTTGTTGGATTCACAGTACCACGCAGCCTGTTAAAACACAAGGAGACTTGAAAAATGTCATTCTCTGCCACAAAGTCACTTTCTTAAAACAACATATTACTACGTGTGAGTGATGCTCAAAAAACATCTTTTAAACTGGAAAATGTAAAGAAACAAGTATAATTGGTAATATCAAGCTAAATATCAATAACACAGATTATATAATAGAATCGTAAAGAACATCAGTAATCACATTTATTTACTTACCGATATTAAGTCAAAAAAATTTTACAGAAGTTGCTATATCACACTAATATCAAGCTAAATATCAATGACACAGATTATATAATAGAATTGTAAAGAACATCAGTAATCACATTTATTTACTTACCGATATTAAGTCAAAAAATTGTTACAGAAGTTGCTATATCACACTAATATCAAGCTAAATATCAATGATACAGATTATATAATAGAATCATAAAGAACATCAGTAATCACATTTATTTACTTACCGATATTAAGTCAAAAAAATTGTTACAGAAGTTGCTATATCACACTAATATCAAGCTAAATATCAATGACACAGATTATATAATAGAATTGTAAAGAACATCAGTAATCACATTTATTTACTTACCGATATTAAGTCAAAAAAAATTTTACAGAAGTTGCTATATCACACTTTTTACAACAAAATAATGGAAAGATAACAACTGAATTAAAGAAACAATATATTTTACTTTGTCAATACTAAAGGAGAGAGAGAGATAAAAGTTTTCATTTTTTCAGTACTGAATGACAGATAAAACCTTTCACTTTGTCGGTACTGAATGAGATCGATGAGACTTTCCACTTTCAGTTTATACAGAAACATAGCAAGACGTTTATCAAATGGAAACATTAGTATTTTAATAATGATTCTATGTGATCATACATAGATGTATAAAACACTACTCAACATTACAATTTCTTCTATCTTACAACTAATGCACACATGTACGAAGTTACTCCATGTTTAAAAGAACACCCTTAAACACCAAATGTAACACTGCTTTACTATCTCCATGTATAGAGTGTTAGGAATATTCCATTAATTGCTGTTTCACGTTACACAAGACATTTCTATAAAGGTATATGCAAGCATATTTTTGCTTTAATTTGAATAAAAAAAGGTTTAAGTTTCCTTTGGTAGATCAGTTATAAAATATAATAGACAAGTGATATAAAAAAATAAATATAACCAGACCTCTGTAGGAGCTGTTGTGTACTCCAAGCATCTTTCCACTGATACAATGTTGGTTTCGACATCAGAACTGGCTCGTACAAGCATGTTTAAATTGACTGTCACCTTCACAGATAAGAAAAAAATTGCATTAGAATTTTAATAATGATATAAAATAGTGAGTAATACAAAAATATCAACTCTGTTTCTGATATCTGATACTTTATCTAAATGGCACTGTATGCAACGCATACACTAAATGATTAGAGACCCCAAGATTTACGTAAAGTTGTCCTATAGAGCTATTGGTCTGAAAGGTGATAAGCAGTCAGTAGCACTCATCAACTACACAATTACTCTTAATCGAATAGTGGAATTGAATGTCACCTTTATAAAATGTTTAAAGCTACAAGTAGTGTGTGTGTGTGTTCAGTGGCATATTGCAAACTCAAACCTTGGACCTTCTGATAAGCAAACCTACACATTAACTACAAGGAAGAGCCTGGTCTCTTTACCTCTGATTTACTTGTAGTTCAAAGTAGCAATGTATCTTGGTGAGACCATTCTTTTCATTAACTTACAGACATATGATGTTTTCTTCAAACAAAATGAATTACATCACTATGTAACTGTAGTGTACTGATTTGATCATCAGGATCTCCTAGAGAAGTGTGTATTTACTGTAAGTTTATATTTGGCATTGTGGTTTTCTTTGAGAGATTTTCAGTTTATGGCCATTACCTGAAAAATAACTTTGGAGGTAAAATTAAGGAAATTCTTACTGACCCAACAAATGAACAGTTAAAAAAAAAAGACTAATATTTAATAATAGCATATATTAATCTGTATTTACTTACATAAAATCAAACTGGTGTATTTATGTGTTTTACACTCACAAAAAAAAGAAACCTATCATTCTATAGGTATTATAGAATGATAGGTTTCTTTTTTTTTGTGAGTGTAAAACACGTAAATACACCAGTTTGATTTTCGATACTTCGCTAGTATAAAGACTTGGTTTGGTCTAATATTTTATCAACATCAGTAGCTTCATACTAATCTGCCATAACTTCTTACAGTTGCTGGATCATTATTTTTACAAGTGGTTAAAACAAGAGTATTATCCATTGTACCTTGAGTTTAGGAACTATATACATTATCAGATATATATATATCTCAAAAAAAAAAATCTAATATCACTGTAAATTATGACCATATATGACTAAAAAAGTCTATGTGGCCAAAATACTGATCACATATTTCTCTCTCACTAAGAAGGATTTCTAATAGTAGTGGTGGGTATTGGTTATAAAATCATGTTTGACAATTTGTTAGTCATAACAACCCAATGATCAATAATAAATTGATTATTGGTAGCAATACAGCTATCAATTAAACAGTCCTATGTATTTAATGATTTTGAAGAAGGTCATTGAATGCTTACTTAATAAGTCTGGGTTCACTATTCAGCATTTGCCACCGTGATAGTATGTCCTAGTTTCCTGTAATCTTGATTATACATTGGCAAGCCTACTCATTAATCCTAATATATATATGAAAGACAATGTGTCCACATTTTCATGCATAATTAATATGACTGAAACAAGAAGGGACTTTCCACTAAGGGGTTTAGTTTCTGATATTGGAAACACTTTTAACAGATTGCTCAGTTTTTTGTTAGAATTTACTAACAATTAACCATCAACATGTTAAACAAGCACTTGGTTGATGCCAGAAAATAATTAATTTGCAGTATAATCATTGATTGTAAACACCATTAATTAAAACAATTTTTTTTTTTTTCAGATGAGTAATACTTACTGACTTAGTACTTTCTGAAGTATCTGTTGTACTTAACTCATGTAAAACACACCATAATATGATAAAAAGTTATGTGATAACTTTGAAAAATCAGCCAAAAATAAAGACAAAGTTTGTTTTTTTTATTTCATCAAACATCATGACTACATTTGAAGAAATTATTCAACTAACAAGATTGAATATATTTACTTTGAATTGTACTTACTGTTAGAGCATAGCTGATAGACAAGCCTGCAATTCCAGGACTAATTGTTCCTTTTGTGAGAACAGCAAATAAGGCAGAAAAAAATACAATGCAATAGCCCAGGAACTCCAGTCGAATCGCTAACCATCTGGAAAAAACAAAAAGCAATGTGAATAAACTTCAGTAGTCTAAACCTGTTTAACATCCTCAGTCAGTTTACATCTATTTCTTTTATTGGAAAAATCCTACTTACATATCAGAGAATTCATCAAATACTTTCTTATAATTGTTGCAAAATATTCAACTACAAGACCTTCTGTATGTTTGTCAGTCTGTTTAACAATCATAACCAGACTCTCATGTTTGTTAGTTTAAATGTCTTTGGGTAGCATTGTGTCCATAAATCAGTGATTAAAAAATTATTTTACTTCAACTAAATAGAACTAAAATATCAATTCTTATGGAAAAACAACACCATATTAAGAAAATAAAAGACTGGTCATTGCAAGTACTGAAAATATATATTTAATGGAAAAATCACCTGCTTGCAGCAAGACTAGGAAAGTAGCTTGAGTGATTGAAGTCAACTCTGCTATTAGACTCAGAAATAAAACGCTTTGTTGCACCATAAGCCCGTATAGAAGTTGTTCCTGTAACTGTCTCTGAAAAGTGGGTGTAAATCGGTGACCTGGTGATAGACTCTATTCTTTTAAGTTGGCGAGAAGAAGAGATGTAAAACCGCTACAAAATGGAAGATCAAACATTTCTTATTAACACAAAACTAGCTTTGGTATTTACACAATTTAGAAAATAAAAAATCGTGCAATAAGTTTCCTTAATAGATCAAAACCAGTATGTCACATAAAACAATTAATAAGCAGTAGGTAAAACTCTTATTTAACAAATATGCAAACTTAAGGGTCAAATAATCCATGGTTCTTTCAATACAAATGCTAAAAACAAAAATTATACACTTAAATACACTAAATTGCTAGTTTCTTATGTGATATTAATAGCCATAACAATGTTTAAGTTGCCATTTACATAGCTGTTAAAGGATGCAATGCAAAACAAACCACAAAAAAATCTTAATTGTAATTTTGCAGAAGCCCAAAGTTGCACACATAAGACCAATAAAAAGAAATTTCTACTCTGGTATTTTTTCGTTTTCAAACATTCAACAACAGCTTGTGCAAAGACTTTAATTTGCCGATTTGAAAAACCAGAGTCATATTCCTATTAAAGAGTGTTCTTTGGAAAAGTTGATTTTTGTGCGTCAAGTTTCCTACTTTTTTCACTGTTCCTATACTTTTATTTTGATTTTTCACTTTCTACACCATAAATATGTTTATTTTCCATACAGTGACCCCTACTCTTGCAAGGATAAAAATGGCTAGGAGCTGAAAATCTTTAGCCCCTTTAAACTCCACAATCGGTAGAATTTTCATTTCTCAATAAGCAATTTTGAGTATTTTTAACGACACGTAACCAAAGCATATCAGTTACTGATATATATATTTTTTTGTCCTTTTTTTAGACAAACTATTAAAATGCCTAAAACATCAATCCATTAATAAAGCTGCAAAAGCTTAATGCCTGGTGAAAATATCACATTTCTTCTGTAACATAAATTCAAGCATTATCTATATATTTTTCAAGAACAAAAGCGAGCGTTTCATATGTTGTGGATTTCAATATGCAATTCAAATTTCAACAATTTTCATACGACAAATATATATATAGTTATAGTCAATGCATATAAATAAGTCTGGAATATTTCTGCAGTATGCTTGTAATATACAAATTTAACTGCAGTGAAATGCGATAAATATAAAAAACTATACTTACCTGAATAAAGTAGTAGCATACACCTAAAGGTAAAACAACAGCAAGAAAAATGGGTGTTTCTAAACATATTCCAATAAAAGCAATTGTAGCCCGGAAGCACTGGATTAGAAACAATCGAACATTAAACCGAATTGTGATATCTGTTGTGTCAACATCTTTGGAAAATCGGTTAAGAATCCTTCCCATGGGAGTGGTATCAAAAAATGACATTCGACATTTCATGACATGTTCCAGCATTCTGTCATGTAGAATTTGGGATCCCCACAGTGTTGCTAGGTTTAACATAACTGTTGCAAGTAGCACAAAAATAGCTCAAAAAATATACATTCTATTAATTACGGCTCAAATTTATTTGATTAACAGATAACAAAAGTTTACACAACAAAATTACAAAAGTCAAACTTCCCCTGGTTTCATGAAGTTTACCATTTCATTTTCCAAATCAACATTAACAGTTACTACCTGCTTTTCATGCTAAGGTTTTATATTATTCACAAATGACTCTTAACACTTAAATTTTCCTGTTAAAAGTAAGTTAAATATGTATGTTTTGTAAATGTTAAGCCTAACCTGTAAACAATGTAAACTTTTATGATTTACTACAAATTTCAAAATACATTTTTTACACTTCCTAGCATGTTGAAAACTAAAAGTTATTTTTTTTCTTTTTGGTGGAATTTTCACTCTGTTAAAGTTTTGTGCATATTGTTTCCTTTACATATTGATTTGTTATACTTATTTTTTCATACGTTTATAGTTTTGGCATTTGTGTAAGCTTTGAAGGTGAACTCAAAATATTGTATTATAAATATTTTTGTGGCAGAGGTTTCCAGATTTCTTTGTTTTAAGGAGCCAGTTTTAACGAGGGGCAATTCCCACCTCGCCCCAAAACAAGATGTGACACAATTTTAAATTTGTTATGCATTTTAGACATAAATAAAATACACACACACACACTACCTTTCTGTGCAATTTAATGGTTACATTGCCTTAAAAGCAAACCAATCATGCAATCTTTCCTGCTTCCCTTCTAGAAACTTTCAGTTCTAACAGTGTCAGCCGTACCTCGGCAACTGAGTTACTGATGCTCATTTGTCAACTGTTTATCAAATATCACAAATCTAAAAGCCTTTGCAGAATTATATAAATATGTACTTTGTTTACATGATTTCAGTATTTACTAGAAATTTAAATTCTGTACTTGTATTTTCTGTGATGATTAATTATGATGCAAATATTACTGTATATATTAAAAAGTAACAATTTTTGATTGAAAAATTTAAGTGTGGTACCTTTTCTTTAGGCCTCTCCCTTGCAACCTGGCACCCAGGATTCATCAGGCCCTGTTTCCAGTTAATGTTATTTTGTGTCATTATGCAATAACTTTATTGCACATTATTTTGCCAAAGGACACAAGGTGGCTTTGTTCTACTATTCTCTGTAGTGACATAACCTTTAATACAAATACCGTATCTAAAAGAAGATGTTTCTGTTTAACTCTTTTACTGCCAGTCCCCAAAGCACTGCGATGGGACTTTGCAATTTTGTGCTATCATGAAGAAAGAATATTCCCCTTCAAAGTTTATCAGTCTCAAGTTTTAGGTATGTAACGAAATATTAAAATTTCTTTTTGTTGCTTTAGTGTGTATCTAAAAACAAACCCAGCAGTGAGATAGTTGTCTGTTTATGAATATGTCAATAAAAGAGATAAACAGACTTTTGAAGGGTTTTTTTATGGATGAGAAAAGAGACAGATTTATCAAACAGTTATTTTGACATTTATAAGTTTAGTTATACAAGTTGATGTATCACACTTTTTTACTTTTGTAAAAAACAGATCAGAAAATTAATTCAACAATAATTTATTTGATAAGTACAGGTTAATTTGTCACTCTTTCTTAATGTCAGCACACTTCCTTACTTTTAGAAATGCCAGATCAGAAAGTTAACTTTTGTTATTAGAAGTTTATGTGTCAAGGTGAATATAATTTCCTTAATGCAAATGATAAGTTCAAGAAAGTACAGTTTTAAAAGTGTGGTTATTTACATACACATTAACAAAAATTGAGTTCCATGTACTTTGAGGCACTGTTAGTTCCAGGTAATTGAAGTATACAAAGAGACTTTTAATGTACGAATAGTAAAAGATATTTTAAAGAAAGACCTTGAACAACAGTTATTGCACATTATAGCAGTAACTACCTCGCTCAGATTTTATTTAAAGTTCAAGTACTTGAAAAACAATAATGCAAGAAGGTATCTAATATACTTATAAGTATATTACACACACACACACATATATATATATATATATACATACCTTTAAATATATTGTGTAACTGCTGTTTGGTGTTCAACTTAATAATATTAAAAATATTAAAAAACCAAAATCTATTCATATGATAGAATAAACATACTTTCGCCAGTACCCAAGGCCCCATACACTCCAAGTCGTAGGTTGCGAAGTTTTATGTCTGTAACCTTTTCAGGATCTGATGCATCATTACTCCACTCACTGAGCCAAATATTGGCACCAAGACTGAAAGCATGAGATACTGCGTATGCAACAAGGGTGATTCCAATACCCCAGAGACCAATGGCTTTGATGTACGCAAAATAAACCCACCATTTGACCTGAAATTAGAATTCAGTTCTATAATTAAGACATTATTGAAAACCCATCATAGATGCTCAGATAGCATGAAAAAAAAGAAACCCTTTAGTGTGCCAGTTAAAACTAATCTAAGAAAGTAATACAGTGGGTACACATTCAGGAAAAAAGAGCATAATTATTTTGCTTTGAACAAAATTGTATTAAAATTTTATCTGAATCACCATAAGTGTATACACTGTCTGAGAAAGAATGATAACAAAAAATGAAGCTTTTAATCGAAAACTGAGGAAAAAAATTTTAATTTCATATATAACAAAAAAACATAAAGTCTGACCAGTTTCTTTTCTTTAGGGAAAAATACAGTTAAGTCCATTTTACTTCATTGAGGATTTTTATGTTTTCGTTTAAAGCATATAATTTGATCTTTCCAAAACATAAGTGAAATAAATAGTAGTGGTTAAATGACTCCTAAACTCAATCACACCAGTTATCAGAAATACAAGTTCAAGCAGGAAAACTAGAAAAAACAACAAACAGTAAAATGGCAGGGAAACTAGGTACTGTATTGTTACATGTAAATAATAAAAAGTGTCCCATCTCATGACTAATCAGTCATGAGAAAAATTACAGTTTTTCTTTTGTTAATAATACAGAATCTTCTTTCTGGTCTCACTTTATTAATCAGTAAATACAATTTTTGGACTTACCGATCCAACTTCTGCATATTCTGCATCTATGAGCCTTGAACGGGGTGGAGGAACTGGTTTTTTTTCCTTCTTTTCATCCATTTGTAAATTTCCAGATTTTGATCGCCGTTTTCGCAGTCCATCCTGAGAAGAGTGGATGGATAAGCTTCTTTCTGATCCTGACCTCTGTATATCACTTTCACTACTACTAAGCCGTGACAAACATCTGCAGAATTAAATTTGACCATGTTTAAACGTTCAACATATAGTTAGTAGAAAATTGAAAAACAATGATTTATAAACATCATGAAGCATTTTTATTTTGGGGAACCATACCACATTTTGAAAAATCATTGTCCTGTCTTTCAGTAGTACATGCCCGAAGATAAAACCACTTCATTATGCTTATCAATAATTGTTCATCAATTTACTATGATATTTGCATAATGTAACATACAGAAAGGTATATTTTGCACAACAGGTTTATGTTATACAATTGATCTGGCTTTTATATTGTACAAACTGTAAAGGGTTAACAGCTTGAATAGCTAAACCTAAAATTTATACAATTAATTTTTTTCCTAAGGATATTTCTGTATGGCATATTTATGTGCATTTGTAACACAAAATGCATTTTAAAATTGTGTTTTGGTATAGATTTTTCTGTTTTTCATTATAAAAAAAAAATTAAAGCTTCTTAAAGAATGGCCCAGTAAGGTATTACGTCTTTCAAAATGAAAGAAATGTTTAGAAAAATAAAAAAAGGATAATTTGATTTTAAACATATTACAAGACATATAAAAAGAACGAATACTTTTAACAATTTCACACCTTCCAGTACAACGTGATGAGAAAGTAGGACAAAATTAGAACTTTAATTTTTCAAAACGTAGGGACATAAACTGATAGTTTACACAAGTTTCACTGTATTTCACATCAATCCATTTGTATAAGCAAGACAAGTAATTAAGAATCAAACGGGCTCATCTTCTTAACAAATTAACACTTTAAGCAACACCAACAGGACAGTACACTTGAATCATATGTTTGAAATTATACTGAAATATATAGCAAATAAAAATTCTTTAACAAATGGGGCTACTTCTGAAATAATAGGGCTATTTTGCTGGAAAAGTTGAAAAATAATATAAAAATGGTAAAAACGGAAAATCGGGGTTGACGAAATCACTGTAATTTAGACTATTTCTATGCATAAACAGCATACTTACTCGATATCAAAAGTGTGCGTGGAACCATATGTTATTAGAACTCCTGGTGCCACACATTTCATACTTGCTATTACTGTAATATTTTCTATTAGGCATAAGGTTTATGTCTGTGTGTTGTTATTCATCTTATTTAAAGTTGAATACCAAGTTGTAAATTAATATTACCATTCACAGTCAAGTTGGCTGGGTAGGCAAATATACTAAGAATCAAAGAAAATATACAACGATCTGACCAACCAATAATAACCAGTAAAAAATCAGCAAGCCTATGTAGTACCTTTACTTCCTTACTGTCTGTAAGTGGGTATAACAGTTTTTCTCAATTATCATCTTTGTAATTATGGGTGACATTTAAGGATTAGGTACACATACACTATTTACTGGTTGCCTCAAGATATTCAGACATTTGCTTCTCACACACTGATCGTCATATAGGTTAATAATCTTGTGATTAGAGTAGATATTTAATTAATCAACCATTATTACTGGAGTAATTAAGATGCACACACATGTACTCTACAGAATATTATGTTTACACATATACAGACACATATATATAACACATTCAAAACATGCTGCTAGCCATGAAATTAATAAGGTATAAAATACTCAAAAGTTTCTGAATTTTGTTACATTTATATCAAAAAAAAATTTTAATAGAATGTGTTCAAGTTAAATCCCTGTTACAAAACTAATTTACAAAAGTTAAAAAAAATCGTCAAATCCGCTGCACTACTGAGATGAGTACGTTTTGGTAGCCCAATGATTAACACTGGCTTCTTATAAACTTTATTATAAACTATTTATACACCAGATGGCTAGTGGGTTCACAAGTTGTTTGGAAACAGGGCTTCTAACAACATACGAGTTACATAAAAAGAAAACAAAAATACCATCAAAATTGAAATTAACCCCACTAATCGCTGTTTCGATTCTGCATATTTTTGAAAGAAAATGTGTAATTTCACCTAATTGTTTCTGTCTGTTCTGTACGCTGAGCATTGTAACAGACAAAAACATAAAATTCCATCACCTAATTGTTTCCGTCTGTTCTGTACGCTGAGCATTGTAACAGACAAAAACATAAAATTCCATCACCTAATTGTTTCCGTCTGTTCTGTACGCTGAGCATTGTAACAGACAAAAACATAAAATTCCATAGCACGATACAATAGATAGACCCGAACCGGTAGTGAAGACTTTAGAAAAACAAGTGCATACTTTGAGGGATAAACAGCTAATTGGTAAAGTCATTAAATGGAACTAAGAACTAAAGCCTTTAAAACTGGTAAAAACAATAGCAGGAGATGCAAAACTACAAATAGATTTATGTTTTGTTTTCTACAGTAATTAAATTTTTACTAACACATGAGAAACCCACCTTTCAAGTTTTGGATTTGGCCCCACGCTTGCAGCTACCTGTTCTATTATCTGCAGCTCTTCAGGATCGATGTCATCAGCTTTACCTACCTCTTCACTTATATAATGTACTAAGATATCTGAAAAGGCTCCCTTCTTGTTAAGAAGTTCGCTGTAAGAACCAGATTCTGTGAGATATCCATCCTTCAGCACTAAGATAGTATCAACTTGTGGCAAGATAGAGATCTTGTGAGTTACCAACAACCGAGTCTGAGAGAAAAAAAAAACAGCTTTCTATTAGGCCAGATTTTAAGATGTTTTTTTTAATAGAGGCTCTGTGTTAGAAAGAAAAACTATTAAGTAGTGTATTTCATACCACACAGTTAAAATCATTATGCTACTGTTTAGCTAATAAGAGAACACATTATATAGATTTAAGTTACATATATATACATTGCTAGAAAAGGTTTGTTTGTTTGACATTAAAATAACAGCTACACATTTAGCTATCTGTGCTCTCCCCACCACGAGTATCAAAACCCAATTTTTAACAAGAAAATCCTTCAGCCACCATGGGGTATTAGAAAAATAATTGTTGTTAATAATATACTGAATTCATTTAAAACGTAAAACTTACTTTACAGTTCAACTGTTTCACAATAAACTTATGAAAATGGGGATGAACTAAGAACATAAATCAAATATAACAGAAGAATAATTATTTTTTTCTGCTACCCAGTTCATTCCAACTAACCATGCTCAATCTTGTCACAAGATCTACTGACTGACAGGTCAATCCTTCTATTTTTTTAAATTTAAATTATCACAAAAATTATTTCAAGGTTTACGTAATAACATGTCTCAGTAACTTATTAACTTAATCTTTTACTGTTTAAAACTGTCCAAATTAGAAATTATTTTGAAATCACTTTTCTGCAGCAGCTTACATAAGTTTTTAAATGCAACGCAACACAATACAAAACATAAATTACTAACTAATGTTTTGTGTATAATGTGCTATTATGTATTATTCATACCTTTAGTGAGATTTCACAATTAATTAACATAATTATTATAGTTACAAATGTTCCGAATCTATAATATTTGTTCACTAAACACAGTGGACAAAACTGATAAGTGATAAAAACAGACATAAAATAGTGTTTAATTTTATGTTTTTAAATTTAGTTATAACAAACTCTGATAATAGAACATTTCTGTGATTCCATCAGAAATTTCCACAACAAAGAAAACAGTGACATGAAGAAAAATCTCAACACGGAGACTGAAGCACCACACCGTCCAACAGTTAGAGCATGAGCAGTTCATGAAAAACTTTCAATCGTACAGCATGTATCACACACACCCCAAGCCTGTACAATCTTTAGGCCAACTAGAACCTGTATCCAAACTGAATAAATACGAATAATTTAGGTGATTTAAAAAGTTTCTGTACATTATTCAGGTATTGCATATATGTCCAATATATGCTTTTAAATGTTTAGCTTAGACTATAACGATTTGAATAAAAATAAAATTAACAGCTTCCATTTATAAAATGAAAATGTCATACCTTTTCTTTCAGCAGTCCTTTAGAACCCAGAACATTGTCGAATATGTGTTTCCCAACATGGGAATCAACAGCACTGAGGGGGTCATCAAGTAAATACACATCAGCATCATTATACACTGCTCGTGCTAACGATATCCTCTGTTTTTGACCACCACTAACGTTGATACCCTACATGTTTAATAAAAATAAATCTATGAACAAAGCTATTTTAAATAAGTAGAGATTTGCACTATTTAAAATACAGATGTAACCACATAAAGCATGGTGTAAAGTAGTAAATAAAAATAGTTTATTAATATATTCTGATAAAGATATTTGTTAAATGTATATAAGTTTTCAACAACTATTCTCGTTGAATAACCAAGTCCTTCTCACACTTGTAATCTATAAACTGGATTAGCAATGAAATACTATATTAAATTGAGCAACATACACAAGTGATACGCAAAGAAACTTTTTCACAAATGCTACATTATCAACAATAATTAAATACATCAAACCCGATACACAGTGAAACCACGTGCGTTTGTAAAAATTAACTAATTTCAAGAAAATTGCATTTAAACAAGAAAAGATTACTTTTTCAAACATTATCTCACTACTGATAGTGTTTAAAAAAATCAATCATTTGGTTATTTTTCCACACAAATATGTTTCATTTAACCCTTAAATTACTGATTTGCTTTAATACCACTCACTACAAGTGAGGGTCCACATATTGCATCATACTAAGTAATCTTACGTTTTTGCCTGTTACAACAATCAATGTAAAGAACTGGGTGAAATAATTAATTTTCTAAAGAAAATACAGAGAGGATTCTAATAGTAATTAGTGGGATTAACAGCAATATTGATGATATATTTGTGGCTCCTGTCATTAGGAAAATTGTAACCACCAACAGTTATGAACTCGCAAACATTTTCGCAAGTATTTTAGTAAAAAGCTGATCGGTAATAACTCTAGGGTTAGAAATATTTTGTTTGAATTTTTTCATATAGCTCAGGTCACTAAGGAAATTGTAACCATCAGCAGGTATAAGCTCACAAATGATTTCATACATATTTTAGAAAAAACTGACTGGTAATAATTCTAGGGTTAGAATAATCAAGAAAGAAGAAAGGCACACATAAATCATGTTGGCCAAATACATTTTGGTATTAAGGAAGTTAACCACCATATCTATATCACTAAAACTTTTCTTATTAATTACTCTTTCAACATGAGCTCGGTCTCTCGGACCGACCTCGTAACCATTTTGTGCTTGTTATAGTTTTCATAACTTTTAAATTAGTAAGCGTATGTTAATGAAATTTGGCAGATTATCAGTAAATATTACAATGCTTTCATATGCAAAATATCAAATTTTTTTTATTTAGTCTTAAGGTTTGTAAAGCAATGTTTTTCTTATGCCTTTTTTTCTTTTCGCATGTTGCCTATCCAACATGCAAAGTAATTTTCATTTTAAGATTAACAATACTTTTATGCATCAGAAAGTTTTCAAATTTCACATGCAAAATCTTTATAATGTCCAGATAGTTATCAAATGTTTCTTAAGAAAAAATTTTATTTTATCTGTTATTTTCACTAATGAATCTCTGTACGGGTTGGGTAAATTTGACCAATTTTGTAACCACCATATAAAATTAGGTAATAAATATAAATTATGCCTCTTTCTTTCTAGAATGACTACAGATTATAACATGAAAACATAAATATTTAGACTAAGTAGCTGAAATCTTATAACATTATACATTTATATATATTCATTATTTTTATTATATTGACCTTTCAGCCATGCCTGGCTAACAATACAGAAGTTAAAATGATGCGGCACACGTGCACTCATGTCACCGTATCCAATAATATAAAACTAACATTTAGTCTTTACAAAGTGACCTGTCTTGGCTGTGTTTTAATAGACTATCATTTTGTAAAATAGAGTCATATTTCAATCATTATACATTATATATGTATATAGATTAATGCTATTTAGAAACAAGTTCTTAAACTTATTTTTCTTAAAACATAGAACAGTAAATAAAGAAGTAAAGCAAACAATTATCTCTTCTTGTTACAAACTTTGTACTCGGTTGCTGGTTGACGTAGGTTGCTAAGCCTTTTAAAATTTTGCACGTGGAGGATATGAAAAAAAATAAATTTTTTTAGGTTTATATATACAGTTGAATAACCAAAAAAATCATAAATTACTATATCTGTACAATAGAATTCCCCTAATTTATCAAGCTTAGTAACTAAGCTGTATTTCAGTCTAAAAAAATATGAAATTTTGAGCAGACTAAAGACACAACCTACCTCCTTGAAATCTTGGTTCGAAAAAAAGAAATGGCATCCTAATACTTTAAAATGGCTAAGAAAGCCACTAGGGGACATTATGAGCTTTCAATTGGTTATTAATATCATATATAGAAGCAAGTGTATAAAAGGGTGTGTTTCCAAAATTGGAAAGAAGTGGGTGAGGTGCCACTGTGTTTGATTTATTACATGAGCAATATCTTACGAAATAGAAAAGATAAGAGGTTCTTATTTTATATTGTAGCTTGTCAATATTGGTAATTTGTGTTCCTAATTGGTACAAAACTAAAGACTTAGTATTTTGACAAACATCCAATTTGAACCAATGCTACATTCAACATACCAAGTGACATACAAAATTTGATGTTTAACTCTTTTTTTTTTTAATATTTACTTTTAAATTAAGAACTTGAGTAATGTATAATACTAAAATTTGAATTATAATCTACAGTTTGATAACAAACTTATTGACATATAAATTGATAAAATAGTAGTTCAATAAAATTTTGAATGCGAGTCAACAAATGCGATAACTTGGCTTTTCACCCATGACCCATATGGAAAAGGTTAAGGAAATTAACCACCATATCTACATCACTATACCTTTTCTTATTAAGGAAGTTAACCACCATATGTACATCATTGTACGTTTTCATATTAGGGAAGTTAACCACCATATGTACGTCACTATATGTTTCATATTAAGGAAGTTAACCACCACATCTACATCACTATACCTTTTCTTATTAAGGAAGTTAATCACCATATGTACATCATTGTACGTTTTCATATTAGGGAAGTTAACCACCATATGTACGTCACTATACGTTTTCATATTACGGAAGTTAACCACCACATCTACATCACTATACCTTTTCTTATTAAGGAAGTTAACCACAACATCTACATCACTATACCTTTTCTTATTAAGGAAGTTAACCACCATATGTACGTCACTATACGTTTTCATATTACGGAAGTTAACCACCATATGTACGTCACTATACGTTTTCATATTACGGAAGTTAACCACCACATCTACATCACTATACCTTTTCTTATTAAGGAAGATAACCATATGTATATCATTGTACGTTTTCATATTAGGGAAGTTAACCACCATATGTACGTCACTATACGTTTTCATATTAAGGAAGTTAGCCCCCATATCTACATCATTATATCTTTTCTTATTAAAGAAGTTAACCACCATATGTACATCACTATACCTTTTCTTATTAAGGAAGTTAACCACCACATCTACATCACTATACCTTTTCTTATTAAGGAAGTTAACCACATCATTGTACATTTTCATATTAGGGAAGTTAACCACCATATCTACATCACTATATGTTTTCATATTAAGGAAGTTAACCCCCATATCTACATCATTATACCTTTTCTTATTAAAGAAGTTAACCACCATATGTACATCACTATACACTTTCATATTAGGGAAGTTAACCAACATATCTACATCACTATACCTTTTCTCCAACTTCAGTCTGATCTCCACCAGGAAGAACTTCCAAGTCTGGTTTCAGAGCAGTTGCCTCTAGGATTCTGTTATATTTACTTTCAGTATATTTTTTACCAAACAGAACATTATTTCTTATAGTTTCATTCTGAATCCAAGCTTGTTGAGGTACATAAGCTATGGAGCCCTGGAAAATATAGTCAACAGTAAAGCCAAGAAACTCATATCAAACTTTAAAAAAAGTAATAATAATAATAAATAAATAAAAGCAATCAAAACTAAAATTTAACTGCTTGTTAAAAGTTGTGCAGGTAAAAAAATCAAACAAAAGAGTGACTGATGTAACACACATATTTTGTACATTGTGAACTTTATACAAAATCAAAATATTAAGAGATGAGCCAGGAAAAAGCATGATCAAAATAATAGTTGATTGAAATACAAACATAGAGTAATTCAGAAAACTACTTTGTTCAATTAATTTTACTGAACTAAGACTATGAGTATGACATTAAAATACACAGCACCAAACAGCAATGTACTCCCTTTTGTCCTTATAGTAGAGAACTGAGTAACTAAAGGCTAAAACTCATTAGATATATAAAATAATGGCTATACAAGCAACATGCGTCATGAGAAATTGTAACATTAACCATGGCAGTCCAGCTTCTTTAATTAAACCATACACATATTACTCTCATTATAACAATGTCACAACCTACTTGACTGTATTTTCAGAAATGGTACACAATCAGTAGACATGTATAAGCCATCCAGTTACCAAATATCTGTATTCTTTATTTCCATATCTATATTACTTAACTAAATTTATCTTGGATAAGAGTTTCAAAATGGATTCAAGTAACTTGTTTACATGGCACAAATGCAATGTAATTGTAATTGAAATATAACACGTTTATACTCCATTTTCACTGATGAAAATGCTAATGATATTTTATATTTAAGCAAACAAAAAATCTAAAACATGTGTACAAGATCGATAAGTTATGATTAAACAGTAAATCAAAATGTCATATTCAAGAAGCGTCTGACGAACCAATCTGATAAGAAAGCGGTTTTCTATCCACAAAGGCAAACTTTAAAAAAAATTGTAGACCAAATGAACAAATATGCGTCCAGTGTCGAATACAAGTCAAAATCAGAGAAAATACGGGAAACCTGCAAGACTTCTATACCCATTGCAACGAAACATATTTAATACAAAATATGTTTAGAAATGAGCTACTTCTTGTGTATAAATATTAACTTTAGTTTAAAAAAACAGAAATTGTGTTTTACAGTGATTAATATCAATTAATATTTTTAATTGTTTCCCAGAATGACTCACCTTGATGTTTACATATCCCTCCAGTTTTTCCATATCACCAAGGAAGGCTGACAGTATTGATGACTTTCCGGCACCAACTTGGCCCACAAGTGCCACTAGGGACCCAGGCTTAATTCTGAAGGAGATATCCTTCAAAGTTGGAGCTTCATCTCTGGACCATGCAAACACAGCATTTTCCATAACCAGCACATCTTCTGAAATTGACACAGATTAAATAATATTTAATAAATTAGGCTTTTCAGAAATATCAGTTCCTATATCCTTCCATACACAAGCTTCACTCCCACCAATGTAGATGCATAATATAAATTTTCTTATTAACAATTTAGTTATAACAGCTTCTTTTAGGAAATATTTGTATTTGATAAAAGCAGATGTTTGTTATATTGATTTATTTACTTCTCCTACAATACATTTTGTGTTTAAAGATCAAAAGTTATACTTGACAAATTAATGAACATGAGAGAAGTAAAAACTCACTTTCATTGTCATCATTAGATACAGCATCAGGGTCAAGCTCGTCACTTCCCAGAAACTTATTGATACGACTCAAGGAGACCACAAACTGAAAAATAAGTTGTGATACAGAACAATGTCATTATATAAGCTGTAGAAAAATAAGAAAATATTGAATATTAACTTGACCAAATAATCCATATAAGCAATGTTACCAACATACATAATGGTTCATTTCTGTATTACTTTCGAAGCTAGTTTTTTAAGTTAAATACTTGCATAAAAACTGGTAAAAAACAAAGTAATTGGTTTTCACAAGAAAGGTCTGTTTCTGTATAGATACATTCTAGGTTAAAAATTAGCATGGATACAATATGTAACAGACAGTCAAACAGATACATTCCATCACATAAGAACTTGCTTCTATCGAAACAAAAAACAAATCAACAAAGATATACTTCTAACTAATTCCACAATATACATCATCATCATTATCACAAGTTTTCCAGTTTGTTCAGGGCATGTAAAATAAATCTATCATGGATTTAGTTTGAAATAGATATTATGGAAAACAGATTAGCCGCACGGGTTCATAGATTTGCTTACCATAGCAGCAAAAGTCACCAACATGGGTAAAAATGCCATTGGAGCACGCAGGATGTTAAATAGAGAAAGTGAAACAAAAGCAGTGCTGGCATCCAAAACATTTCTTGGGTCTAGGAGGACGTACATAGCAAAACTGGCTAGTGCTACCTGCAAGTTAAATATTTGTATTATGCAGTGTTACAAATAACCATATAATAATTTGTAACATCTAAAATCACTACTTCCTGTCAGTGTTAAGTTTCTCTGGCTATTAATCGTTTCCACTATAAAAAAAAAGTTATATTTTCTATACATTTTTGAAATCACGCTCTTATTACTTTTCTCATGCTAGTAGTAAAACTTAAATGCTAAACTGGCATTCCAATATTTAAAAAAAAAGCTATTACTAGATAAATTTTCAAACTTTTAAAACTAAATATACGTTTTAAAAACCACAACTTTAAAAGTAGAACTGTACAAATGATTTAAAAACCAAAACACAAATCTATTCAAAACTTATTTCGATTCCTTTCTGAAAAACAGAAAACTTTCTTGAGTTTTTGAAGTTATTACTAGAAGATTATTAATAACTTTTTCTGACTTCAAATTCACAGCCACACTGATTATAAATCTAAAGAATGTAACATCCAAAAAATTTTCAAAGTTGCTATAAAATATTTTAGAATAATAGTTGTGGATTAGAAATCCCATTCTGTGAATAGTTGTGAAAAGTAAAAGTTCAATGTAGAGTTAATCAACATTTTTTGCCTTTTTGTTTTACCAATACCTTTAATTTTTTGATAAAAAGTCGATTACTTTTTACTTTGCTATTTCCTATTTTGAAGTGTAGAAAAAAATACAGAACACTAAGGAAATGTCATAAGAAGATCTTATGTTTCCTATAACTTGCAACTGCAAAGTGAAGCATCTAAGTGCAATAAATGCAGTAAATGTAAATGTTAGCAGGACGGAACATCCACTGAAAAGAAATTGTCAAGGAAAACACAGCAAAGAGTTTCTAAAAGATAATACAAAAGCTTCTTCTCTGAAACCAAAAGCTTCTGTTGTCCTGGATCTTGAAGACTGTGATTCAGATGTTGATAAAGGTCATCTGTATTGTTTCCTTTACTAAAACATCTTGTTAATGTCATCTTATGTACTTTGTCTCTTACTTCTCTAATTCAAATTCTCTTGTTTATTGTTTTTGCTGAAATATCAAAGTTTTTGGACAAGTAGATACTGTAAATACCAACTGATTTTCATTTAGAAGTCGCATTAAAACTAGTTTCAATTTTAAGTTGTACTGGATTCTTTAGACCTAAGTCTAAACAATTAATTAATAAAAGTGAAAAAATAGTACTAGTGGATTTGATGATGTGAAAGTTTATCACCACATTGGTCTTTTTTAGGTCATGAATTAAGGGTAAAAAAACAACAAATTATTTAAATTTTATCACATGTACATGGTAACATCCAAATCATTTTTTATAAACTTATTCTCATTACATCTCTGCAAGTTAATACAGAAACTACTTAACTATTATTTTACATTAACATAAACATAAGAAATTATTTAAATATACAATAAAGAAGGAATAAATTAAGCAGTTGTGGAAACTTATCATGTTTCTTGATTTTGCTTTCATAGAGAAAATAGGTTGGAGAAAGATAATTTGTCAGAATTAAAGAATTACTCATTGTAGCTTGTTACTGGTTTACACAATTTTTTAATGCTCCCTCTTCCAAATATTCACTTGATAATTTAAGTTGAAGTTGATAAAGCTTAATAATAATTTGATTTTATGAAAGAATGGCTAGGAAAATATTATTTAGTATTAATCAGCTTTTTCACATTTTAATTTTGACTAATTTCAGTATTTTTTGATGAATTTAGAACTTCATTGTTCATTACTTACAGTGGATACTGCACATTTTCTGTGTTTTTCAGAATGCTACAATTCTTAACCATATACATAGTTACATGTAGACATACAACACTATACATTACTTTCTTTCTCCCTCTTCATATTAAGACACTAAAAGCAAATAAACAATAAAATAAAATTCTAAATGTATAATGAAAAACAAAATATCTATTCCTGTTTTTAAAATTGCAGTATTTGAAAAAGAGAGAAAAAAATTAACATCAAAAAGCATCAACCATCATCATGCCACTTACCAAAAATGGAGCACACGTGAAAGCAAAGGTAATAGCTGCTGCTAAGTAGGCCTGAATAGTTAAAACACGTATTTCCTTGTCTCGGATTTTCGTGACTTGTTCCTGAAATGATTCTTCCCAGGCATAAAGCTTCAGAACTTTTATTCCACTAAGTATTTCATTCATAAGCTTGATACGCTTATCCTTCTCTTTCATCATACGAATCTAAACGGAATTATGAAACAAAGGTTATTAAGCATCATCAACTAAATGATATGTACAAGAAACTCTTGCTCTCATTCTCTCACCTATGAATGACTTTACATTTCAACAAGTACTTTAATAGTCTTATAGTTCTTTACGGTTCTTAAAAACAATATCATTGAGTCAAACTGTTGTTACAAGATACATTTTTAATGTATCAATTTAGATGCTAGCTGAAGGGTGCATCACACTATAATCATATTAGTCCTAGAACATTTGGGAATATTAATGAATGAAAGGCTTTGTGAAATATCTAGAACAAGGATTAGACTATACACAGTGTGGTCACAAATAAATAGACACCAACTTTTCAGAAAAAATGAAATTTTTCAGTC